AAATCTGCCTACCGGGCTGGCCAATCCTTTGGACCTCTACGACCGATCCACCGGTGAGCGAGCACCTGCTTAAGGTAATGCCGCACCGTTTGTGCACAATGGGCAAGTGCGCCATATTGAATCTCTAAAGGCTGAAGCGAAGTGCCGAACTAGCCGACGATAATCGGTAGTGAAAACATTATCCTGTACCTCCTACGTACTTTGTCAGCGACAGTTCCCTTACCACTGGAGAACCATGATGGTAAAAGGAATGGCGGTAATCATAATTGAGTTACTAGGCAAACACAAGGTTAACGTCATATGGGCAACGGAAATACGTGACTCTGGCTTTCAAGAAGCGTATAACGCAGCCTACTGCGCTTCAACGGTTTCGTCCACCACCGTCAACTTTACAGTAAACATCAACAGCGACGCCTGCACCCTGTCGGGCAATGGAACGTTTTGCACGTACCCACCTTGTTCTATTTTCTCTCAGCGTTCATTCAACCACGATGAGATATGCGCAGCATTACCCATAGCAACAATGTGCTAGTGAAATCAATCGCCAAACATCATACATATCTTTACATGAACTATGTTTCAAGAGCATAAAAATCAACGAAATACATGTTCAAAATGACCACCTCGTTTTGTTTGCAGAGCGGTACTCATCGGATGCCATTGGTTAGCACTTACTACAAAGTGTCTACAGATATACCGCGACATTCGTTGACGATGTTTAGGTTCAGTTCCTTCGGAATGCAGCTGCGGAATGGCACAGGTCCGCAAGATTTCTTTATAGGAGAATGCTAACAAATGTGAAGCGTCAGTTTTGTTAATACATCAACTTACCCGTCATATACCGCGACAATCGTTGACGATTTTCCATTTCACTTCCTCCAGACAAGTTGGCCTTGTTTTACACACTCGGAATTACAAGTACCTCCATAGGAAGAAATCCAGTGTGTTCAAATCTGACAGCCGTGTAAGCCACTCAATAGGTCCTCCACAGCCGATACAGTGGTTACGGAAAGTTTTGTAAAGGTAATCACGTACCGTTTGTGCAGGATGGGCAGGCGCACCATGCTGCTGCCACCAAACGTTGCTCAAGGAGCCTTCGGCCTGCAGCTGTGGAATGACCCTGGACTGCAATATTTCTTTGTACCATAATGCTAACAAATGTGAAGCATTAATTCTGTAACAAAAAGTAAGTTACCTGTCGCATGCTTGGAAAAGAAAAATGGTCCGATAATTTTTCATCTTGGCAACCCAGCCCATGCCATAAGCTGTGCACCAGGTTGCACACGTGAAGCGATGCATTCTCGTGAGTTATTGGTAGCCCAAACATGCCGATTATTGTCCCCAAGAAGACGGTAAAGTGCCGCATCTGTAAACCTGATTGAGTGCAAGTCCATGATATCCAGCTACCATCAGGTAAGAGCCATACGATTCCCACAATTGCATGGCTTCATAATTTGATCCTACAGTGCACGATACCTTCGGAATTTCCGTTCCTAATCAAATTATGAAGCCATGCAATTGTGAGAACCGTATGGCTCTTACCTGATGGTAGCTGGATATCATGGACTTGCACTCAATCAGGTTTACAGATGAGGCACTTTACCGTCTTCTTGGGGACAATAATCGGCATGTTTGGGCTACCAATAACTCACGAGAATGCATCGCTTCACGTGTGCAACCTGGTGCACAGCTTATGGCATGGGCTGGGTTGCCAAGATGAAAAATTATCGGACCATTTTTCTTTTCCAAGCATGCGACAGGTAACTTACTTTTTGTTACAGAATTAATGCTTCATATTTGTTAGCATTATGGTACAAAGAAATATTGCAGTCCAGGGTCATTCCACAGCTGCAGGCCGAAGGCTCCTTGAGCAACGTTTGGTGGCAGCAGCATGGTGCGCCTGCCCATCCTGCACAAACGGTACGTGATTACCTTTACAAAACGTTCCGTAACCACTGTATCGGTTGTGGAGGACCTATTGAGTGGCTTACACGGCCGCCAGATTTGAACACACTGGATTTCTTCCTATGGAGGTACTTGCAATTCCGAGTGTGTAAAACAAAGCCAACTTGTCTGGAGGAAGTGAAATGGAAAATCGTCAACGAATGTCGCGGTATATGACGGGTAAGTTGATGTATTAACAAAACTGACGCTTCACATTTGTTAGCATTCTCCTATAAAGAAATCTTGCGGACCTGTGCCATTCCGCAGCTGCATTCCGAAGGAACTGAACCTAAACATCGTCAACGAATGTCGCGGTATATCTGTAGACACTTTGTAGTAAGTGCTAACCAATGGCATCCGATGAGTACCGCTCTGCAAACAAAACGAGGTGGTCATTTTGAACATGTATTTCGTTGATTTTTATGCTCTGGAAACATAGTTCATGTAAAGATATGTATGATGTATGGCGATTGATTTCACTAGCACATTGTTGCTATGGGTAATGCTGCGCATATCTCATCGTGGTTGAATGAACACTGAGAGAAAATAGAACAAGGTGGGTACGTGCAAAACGTTCCATTGCCCGACAGGGTGCAGGCGTCGCTGTTGATGTTTACTGTAAAGTTGACGGTGGTGGACGAAACCGTTGAAGCGCAGTAGGCTGCGTTATACGCTTCTTGAAAGCCAGAGTCACGTATTTCCGTTGCCCATATGACGTTAACCTTGTGTTTGCCTAGTAACTCAATTATGATTACCGCCATTCCTTTTACCATCATGGTTCTCCAGTGGTAAGGGAACTGTCGCTGACAAAGTACGTAGGAGCTACAGGATAATGTTTTCACTACCGATTATCGTCGGCTAGTTCGGCACGTCGCTTCAGCCTTTAGAGATTCAATATGGCGCACTTGCCCATTGTGCACAAACGGTGCGGCATTACCTTAAGTAGGTGCTCGCTCACCGGTGGATCGGTCGTAGAGGTCCAAAGGATTGGCCAGCCCGGTAGGCAGATTTGAGCCAAAGGTGCGTTTGCAGCATAATGTGTCAGAAAAGTTATCACAGAGATAACGGGTTTGTGGTGCACAGTATGCGTGTACTGTGGTCCCACGATTTGTCATTCCATTTTCAAACCAATGACATCCGCGCTTTGTGCAATACGTGATTCTCAGTATTCTCGTGGGTTAGCTATTGCCTAGAAATGCAGCTCCTTAATTCCCCGCTAATAGAATATTGCCTCACCAGTAAATAGTTTGGAATGAACGATCATAGCTCCGTCTGAAAAAATTTGGGCAGCATAACCACACTTGTTTCCTGCAACGGCGATCAATACGGCGATGGGCGAATAGGCTATGCGGCAGCGAGTAGTCTTTAGGCGGCATGGCTGTTCATAACTCCTTCCAATGGTTACATTTTATATTTGGTATTCTTAATTGTAAAGAATGTCTGTTTTGCTAAATTAGGTATTTGAAGGGTAACTTTCAGTCTACAAGCGCGTTGCCAATAACCCTTTTGTCACTAGATGGGATAACACTAAACACCTATTGCACACTCTTTGCTCAGGCCAGTTACGTCTGTCGAAACGCCACCACAATGCTATCGCAGGAGCCGGCTTATAATGCACCGCTGTTTCCATTTTTCACACCTGTCTCCATTCCAACCAGCCATACACAGCGCAGGTATCGATCGGTGGACTTGCCTTGTGGCGTGTCGTAGATTGACTCCAACTCAACCATGCGCGCATGATCCAACGTTTTCACGATGGACGCCACTAGCAAGTACACATGCACTCACATGCATGAATATGGGCGTTCTACACCCAAGTGACCAAGTGAGAGATGTTGAGATAGACCAATATTGGACAGTTGGCAATTTGTGCGTTCTACCTCAAATTCGAAGGAATGGCCATTTGTCACGTATTAAAATAGTAGAGTGACTAGAGTATTGGGACGGGCTGTAGTGTTGTGCAGTTACGTTGCATGCTTTACCGCCTCGAACCTTCTGCTTTTCGGGAATATTGGGCAATGTGTAGCGTTTAGTATCGTTGCAGATTACGATTTCCTCCAACGTATCCTAGATAGTTTTGATGAATTTGCAAACTGAAATTACTCTAGTTTGACACGGCTGCTAGCGACGTGATGCATACACGTTTTTATACCATGAGGATGTAGAAATTCTGATAATCCACCGTTTCGAAAAATTATAGAATGGCTTCAGGAATCTGTTTCACTTCGACCTCGGTTACTCGAAAACATCGTGTAATCAATAAGTCAGTTTGCTGCTCAAGTCGTTTTAACGGTTTTACTCCTAAAGCTTTATTACGATTGTCTGTCTACGTGCGACTCTACGTGGAATATGCTATCCAGACTTGGCACCCGTGGCAGAAGCAGGTTGGTGCTGCTTTCGAGTCCTTCGTCAAAGGTCATTCATAGCATTATGGGTCTTTTACACCCAGCATATCAGCTGAGACTGAAGTCCTTAGCGGTTGACATCGGTTCCACTTGGAGGGAACCTCATAATGACTAACCAAATCCTGGATACCCCCAACCATATTTGCCGTCTTCTACTGGAACTGTTATACTACCGACCGGAAAGGTAGTATTTAGATTTGGCCAAGCAGGATCGCGGATTGGAACGCCGTTTAAGCTCCCTCTCCATTTCGGTTTTCAACCATGGAAACCCCTGAGCGTACGTTTTAGTCCCGAAGTTAAAAATAGAAAAAAACACAATCGCGACAAACTATGCCCGTTACAATTCGCTATACGACTTGTGTATACCAGTGGGCTATATGACGCAACCACATTATATATTCTTACAATCGTACCAGATGGATTGACATAGGTTGTGGTGCAAACTCTCGGTGAGTTCAACAGCGCATGCACCAATTTGTAGAGAAAATTCGTGTTTATTTTATTATTTTATCTTTACCAGCCTTTGCCAACTGATAACGGCTAGATAGTTTAATCTTTGTAAAGAATTGTTCCTTTCAAAATCATAATGAATTAATTCTATAAAACTTCATTCTGGTACTTGATTCCTATCATGCAAATGAACGGTCTCACCTCATCAACTCACGATCTGATTCGGCATGAAACAGGTGCCTTTTGGGGCCGAAGGAGATCTCCAAAATGCGTTCATCAACCGGTTCTCTGTTATCCGACTTCTGTCTTGGTCTTGTTGGGCCGGAGGAGTACAGTGAATCCAGTATTCGTACGCAATATCCATGTAGTGCGATCGTAGCCTGTGGGTGCCTCTCAATGGGACTTTTATAAAAGTACAGGCAATAATCGGACAATAGTGCCCAGAATTTCTGCCAACCCGAACCTTGTTGCAACTTGCGAAACAAGTACCCGTGTAGCTCGCACTGCCGAGAAAGAAACACAAAGTTGTTCAGCGCTTTGGCAAAGTCAAGAAAACGAGACAAGCATCAGAAAAAGTAGTTAGAGGTGAACAGCCTAGGTATTAACGAAGCTGAAACATGTGAGTAAGAAGCTTTTGCAGTTCCGTAAATGCTGCAGAGAATGTGATGAGATTACATGTTTAGAGCTAACAGTAGATATCTATGACTGATCGTGTTGCTGTCGGGTCGAAAAAGATGAGTTTCAAAGTAGTTCATCCTCATTAGGGATCGAAGTATGAGCAAACAACTGTTGTGGCAATTTTTATGCCAAGGTTTTGTGAAAACCGCTTTCGCTTGAAGTGCTCGCGACTTGCCGTATTACTCTGAAACTTCTTTTGCTTCAGCTTTTACTTTCTGTGTTATTTGCAAGGAAGGACAGTAGGAAGTTCATTTTTGTTTTCACCTTAGCTACTATTGTCAGCTAACAGCCTTACGAACGTAATTATGAGTGCCCAAATTCTGGTACTATAAAAGCAACTTTTGTATGTTTTCTGCGCTCCGGAACGCAACTAGAAGCGTGTCGTTTTAGCTACTTAGTACTTTGCATCTAGTGTACCACTCCGAAATCGTTGTAGACTTCAAAGGAGTAGCAGGGAGAGTTGACTGGCATGAGCTGAAGTCCATCACACCCAGATACAGTCAGAGAGCAATCACACATATGGCTGGCTGAATGCGCCTGGATTTGCTAAACTTCAGCCTTTACCATACAACTCCCCTTCTACTTCTATTTAATCAGTACGATGACCAAACATTTTATAACGCCGTAAATTAATCGGTGAGTTAAGGTTGGTAAATCTATTACTTGATGTGGTGGAGAGGCTACGCTTCTCTCTGCACTGTAGTAACGTGTAAGTTAGCGTGACGCTATATCACATTTGGCTAATAAGGCGCGACGGTCAGTACTGTCTCTGTAGTCAGTGGTCTTCACCACAAACTGGCGACAGTCGAGTTGCTAGTTTTAGCCCCACAAGGGGCAGACGGGATGCACAACGCTGACGAGTCACTCTGAAGAATGGAATAGCTGTAGTGGTTTTCAAGGCTCGTGATCGCTATCCGATTTAGTCTAGATGTGATGAACTTCAAAATATGACAGCAAATTTAGTGCACTTCACTCTACTACGAATTTATCAGCTCCATTGTCTCTCAGCGCAGTCGTCATACGCTCATTTGCATAGAATGTAGCGGATGAATCCACTGGGCATCACTTTACGAAATGGCTGCATACTGATCAACATGCTTGAAACCCAAGCTGTTTTAGCAGATCACTTGCTCACATTAACGTTATGTTTTTAACAATCCACAGGTACAAAATTGCGTTCACTAAAGGATTCACTGCGCAAGCTGACAATCCAAAGATCACACACACATGACCATTACCACAGGTAACTACGACTCAATCTGTTGCTTTTGATCACCATTTTCCAGTTAACTCTTGAGCAGTCGCTGACATCCACCCGGTACAAAGCAAGTTGATGAGTCAAAACCCCACAGAGACCAGTGTCGAAGAATAAGCAGCCAAACAATGGGAGTGCGTCTTGTTCCAGATACACGCCCGCCTACAATAACCGAGGACAGACGCGTGACTGTGACAACAAACGTGGGAAGCATTAATTTTCAACCTCATGTGACGAAGAAGTGTAGTGTTAGGTTGAAAAGCGATGCTCGATGAACAGGATCCCACGAAACGGTAAGGGTGAGAAGCCGAAATGTGTTTGATTGGTCGCTAGAGGACTGACCGGTTCTGACTGTGCCACTGCATTCCACTCAAAGTGCACTGGCGTAAGCCAACTGGTAGGAAAGATGCATAACAAAGTGTCGGATGCGCTCTGGTTTTGCTGGGTATGTAGAGAGTTTGCAATCGTTAACTGTGCTTATAAAATAGATGAAAAATGACTAAAATATCTGGGCAGTAGGGAAGCGTCAGGGCTTTGCCATTTTAATAAACAACTCCACTCCGTTTCCTCAGCAAACCGTATAAATTCCGTCACTAAGTGCAGGCAGCCTTGTTTGCCGCCTACAATATTTGCGCCACCTTCTCGGACACATCCTAACCCTCTAGGTGTGTAAGTCACCTTTTACGTGACTGCATTTACCCTTATACATGAAAGCTACACCTAACGAATCGGTCAGAACCCCGGCAGCTCAGATACGGTAGTAATAGCGTACAGAGAAAACCGGTACAGTAGTCTGAAGCAAGTACGATACACCTGTTCTCTTCCATGATAAGACCGGTGCTTGAGCACGGCTCACCGGTCTAGTGTCCGATCACAATACGTGAGTTACAGAGCCTGGAACGGCTTCAGCAGATAGCTATCTGGCCCATCCTTAGTTTACGCGGTATGTCTTATGATGATTAATGTAGGGGACTAGGGCCGTATATCCTGTCATGTCGTCGGCTTCGAGTTGATCTTATACCGATGCACCGAATACTGCGCATGGGTTACTTCCCTACATTGAGGCCGCTGATGCACGTTCACGCACCTAGCAGCACAAACTGGTGGCACTGAATTTAAAGCGTATCGCTTACTTTCTATGTTGCGAACATCGAGTGGCGAAATACCTGCACAACTGCTTGAGATAATAGTCGAGACACAATAAGTGTCGGAAGTTAAGAGGATTCTAGGCACCCAACTTGCAGATTATAGGTATAGGGAGCGTATTGCACCCAGATAAAATGTAGTACGGCTGTAACGTGTTGCCACCGCGCAGTATCGAGGAAGTGATTTCGCGCAGTTGTCCAATATAACTACGTTGGAGCCACGCAGGCTTGTTCCTTCTCGCACTCTAATTTGCTCTAATTGCTCGTTACAATAAATACACTGGAAGCGACATCTGTATGATCATCTGTTCCATCGTGCACCTGCGTTGCTACGCAGCTTTCACGATCAAATCCAGTGCCGCCCGCTAAGAAGTCCAAGTATTCAGAAACAGCACCCAAAACCCAATTCGCTAGACAACCACACCGCGTTAACTCTAGTGTGCACTAACATTTTGTTTGCCCTAATCTATCACAGTAAAATGCAACTTGCTAAACTTCCATCTGCGATGCGATTGGTATTTGGGTTGAGCCCTATTTGTTGAGATGTGTACCGCGTCAGTTCCGTACATTACGGTGGACTAGGAATTCTTCGAGTAACTCCAAACTCAGTAGATGAGAAAGACGTCGACCCAAGCTAAGCAGTTGGTGTTCAAAATTCACCGAGCGTAGAGCACATATTTATCGAGCTGCCTTGGGAAGTTCGCTCACAGGAAGCGGAGAACTAAGGCGGCTCTCCTAGAACAACAGTAAAGAAACTATATCTGTTAATGGTGTTTCTGAGCTACGTGATTCTCCTGAGCACGAAACGTCAAAATGCAACCGAGTGCCGTGATGCTACATCCGCGAAGCGCTCTTTCTGGAAGATTCTATTGCCAATGCGCATGTAAGAATTCTTTCGTCGCCTAACTTCAAGGGCTGCTGGCCAAGAAAAATAAAAGTGGTGTTACACTGAGAAGCAATGACGGAAGGCCTATTTAAGTACTGGTGGAAGTTGCCAAACAACATTCAACTAAAACCAGTAGGTTCGTTGCCACAAGTGGTTAGTTATTCGCTGGAATTCGCAACCTCAATCCATGTTTGTCTACAAAAAGGCCAACGCAGCACCTGATGGAACGGAGTGAAGCACAGTGAAACATCTAGCTCTGGAGGCACCCTGTAAGGTCATGCTGCCGGACTGCAATTCAAAAACGAACGCCATACCAAACTACAGGTTAGCCTTTGAGCACCAGAGGAGCGGAATAAAATCAAACCTTGATTCAACACGCAACAATGCACTTCGAACATCAAAAGTACTATATAGTTTGTGCACCAACGCCTTAGGCTTTCTTACTAAGTTTACCAAAATGTTAGTGGCTCCAGATCTGGGAGTTTCAACGTGCTTTACTCCGTTCTGTCGGGTGCTGCGTTGGCCTCTTTGAAAACCTCACAATCACAGCATCATATCACAATTACAGGGACTTGGTTATGCCCTGACATAACCCATTCTGAGCTCAATTTACTCGGCATGTCGTTGCTTCGAAACGATGAGACTGGAAAGGTTAGTGGGGCACTCCATTTCTACAATAATAACCACTGGCGTAAACGTATTGATCACTCAGATCTCGGTGCCCCTTATTCGCTTTAGTACGCGCCATGGCTGCGAAACTAGGATACATACCTTGCAGCCGTAATTTATCGTCTGACAAATTTTACATAGGATATGGACTACAAACTAAAACAACGTATCGAAGGTTGCGCCGAAAAAATCAATAGTGCTACATCACCATAGCGGGAGAAATTATTGTGTACAATCTGAAGATGCCAGCAACTAATATCCCACAGTTTAAGCCAGTTTGTAAGAGCTAATTTCTAGCCGCCCTTTGTACAAACACAACACTTCAACAACCAGGTTTCGAACTGCTAGCAGGTCGTTGACAATTGGCCTTGTGATCACCAAAGAAGAATTGCTGGTCGACGAAACAGTTAAAAGCATGCCCTTGGGTGGCGGTGATCATGTTATTTTCTATTTTACTATATATGCTATGCAAAATACGCCGAAGGAGACGATAAATTGTGCACTGCCACGCACATCAACGTATTATTCGTGCTTTTTAAGGAGACATCTTGGATATTCACGAATAATTACGCCCATGAAGTTACCTAAGAAACGTTCACAAAGACGTTAAGCACAATGGTAGTGTAGGCATAGGAGCAGAACTCCTTCTGTCATCAAGGAAAATCCAAGTCATCTCTAAGAAGCAGAACAAACGAATATAGTTTTTTGAGAAATTTGGCGTGGCAAACTCACAAAGACTGCCCGAATGTAGAAACCTGGAATGCATGCGTTGCATAGCCAATGTACGTGTGACACCGATCCCTGAGCTCGAGGTGACTCACCAACAGGATTTAACCAAGCGATTCTGTGCGAACCACAATATCTTAGTCA